AGCTCTGCCTGCAGCTCTGCGACGCAGGCCACAGACAGGCCACGCCTACGCACGCCCCACCTTAATCAGGAATAGTTTATGTTCGGAAACCGCAGGGCAATCCTGTTTCGATTCGTAATCATCTTAGTCCTGCGCGTCTCTTGGGAAGGGGTTCATTCACTTTAAGCTGTATCAGAATCAATCACTGGAAGTGGTTGGGGTCATGAAAAACATGAGAGATACACGCACAACTGCCACACGGGTCCTTCGCCCCGACTTCATCGCATAAAACGACGATTGAGCAAAAAAACTGCGGCTGTCGGGCAAACCAACAGCTTAAGGAGCAAACTTCATCCCTTTGCAACAAACTGCAATCAAAATCAAATCCCGTACAACACCGAGACGTGATACTAGGTCTGTATTTGTTCTGCTCTTCTGCTTTTGCTGCCTTTTTTGACAGCAGCGCAGGCCTTCCTTCCTTCCTTTCTTCCGTCCGTCCGTCCGTCCTTCCTTCCTTCCTTCCCTCCGTCCTTCCTTCCTTGCAGAGCCCTGAAAAGGAAAAAATATCCCACCCCGAAAAAAACATATCCCACAAATATGCCCAACAAAAGCCAAACAAAGGCCAACAAAAACAAAAGCCAAAAGCCACCAAAAGCCAAAAGCCAAGAGAAGCCACCAAAGGCCAACAAAGAAACAAAAGCCAAAAGCCAAAAGCCACCAAAAGCCAAAAGCCAAGAGAAGCCACCAAAGGCCAACAAAGAAACAAAAGCCAAAAGCCAAAAGCCACCAGAAGCCAGCAAAAGCCAACAGAAGCTAGCAAAAGCTACCAGAAGCCAACAGAGATACCTAATGCCTAAACGTGAAAAAAATAAACAAAAGCCAAAAGCCACCAAAAGCCAAAAGCCAAGAGAAGCCACCAAAGGCCAACAAAAAAACAAAAGCCAAAAGCCAAAAGCCAACAAAGAAACAAAAGCCAAAAGCCAAAAGCCACCAAAAGCCAACAAAGAAACAAAAGCCAAAAGCCAAAAGCCACCAGAAGCCAGCAAAAGCCAACAGAAGCTAGCAAAAGCTACCAGAAGCCACCAGAAGCCAACAGAGATACCTAATGCCTAAACGGAAAAAAAATCCCAAAAAAAACCGAAAAAAAAATCCTAGAAAAATATGAGTTCCGAAACACAAGGCTGTGCCATTTTTGTTCGGCAAAACATCACCGCCACGGTGTGCGTCTCCACACTCTAAGGCCACCGCGCTTTTTAAGAAGGCACCGCCTTTTCCTCAGCAAGCCATTGATCTGACCCACTTCTTCCAGACAGCACAACATGGGGTGCCGATATCCACAAAGTTTTAACACATCACCTGTTGGGGGTTTGCATCTGCTTTTTTCGCACCGTGCGAAGTCTGGGACTTGGATCATGATACCAGGCTACATCACCAGCCTTGTGATGCATTAAGGTTGAATCCCCACTTGTCAGAGGAAATTCTTTGTCGCTTGTACCTTTCCACCATAGAACCACTGAATCGCAGGAGTGTTGGAAAGAGCTTGACCCAATGCCTCCAAGTTCAAAGAACCTTACGAGTGACATCAATAGGCGACCGCCTTGCTGATTTATTGCTTGACAATGGGTCCTTTGGTGGCCCAAGCATGGGTTTTGACGGGAAAAGGTGTCTCAAGTAGATTCCATGGCGAAGCCACAGTGGCGAAGCCGCCACGGTGTTGCTCCAAACCGGCACACAACGGTCCAAACCGCCCCCGTCCGGTGAGAACGAGGGACCGGACCACCCCCAGGGTCCGGTCCGCCGAGTGTCCGATGATGTGGGCTGCTTCGATGTTCGTGACCTCGAAGAAGATCGTGCAAGGCCGTGATCCTGAAGATCGTGCAAGGCGGGTGATTTACAAAGACAGAGAGGTGGATGCGATCTTCGCCCCGGACCAAAGGGGGGTCCAAGGACCACCGAAAAGACCAAGGGCCTTGGAAGTAGTTATGGCCCATTCCTGACGAGTCTCACTAGGCAGTTGACAAGTCCGATTTGTCTGTGTGATATGCTTGACTCTGACGCATGCTGGCTGAAGCAAACAAAGACTGCCAGCTGTACAGCCTGCTCATGCTAAAAGAATGACTCCTAAAAGAACAAGACCAATAAGACCTCTGGCCCCGGTCATCTCTATATCATCCATATTCCACTGGGCTAACCTGCGACACGATGAGAAGTCCTGCACTGGGCCCTGATGCATATCCATGAGCTGATGGACTGATGGGTGGCGCTGAGGCCATTGGATTGCCCTTGCCACCCTTCGCGGCCATAGGAGCAGCCTTCGTCCAAAAAGCTTTCTGATGGACAAAAAATGGGGGAGATGATGAGAGATGGGGGAAGTTGGTTGGATGTGCTGAGATCTTTTTCCTCCCACACAACACCGCAGCGTCCAACGCGCGGGCCAATTGTTGGACACCGTCCCTTGCGATCACTGAAGCGAGGAAGGTCGGGCCACAAAAACGAGCAGATTTTTGCAGGATCAACGTGTGGGACATGGGTCCACCATCAAAACCGATACTCGAAAAAACTACATCAGGACAGGAGCATAGGGGCCTGAAGAGCTTTGGAGAGTACATCCCTCAAGTTGTTTATAGTTGTTTTATCATCTTTAAAATCAATAAGCCAGTTTGAGAGGTCCAATGAAACAAGTCAGGCCAAGGAGGGATTAAGGAGGATAAAAAGTAAACAGAGTGGAGAAGAAAACAGTCCATTCCTGTTTGTCTGATCTTTTGCTTGTGGTCAATTCCGCATCATTGGTGCATCACTTGTTGCCTTCAAATCCATGGGGAGGGGGTGGAGAAGGGAAGCCTGATGACTAGGCCACCACACCACGGGCGGCGCAGAGGTGTAATCATTCCTGCCACACCAGAGTTGTATTCATTCGCAATCCCAACATATCCCAGCAAACCCTATCTGGCGCAACGCACATGTTTCCTTCACTGTGCTGGGCCCACTTCCTCCCATGTTTCCGACGTACGGCCCAAAAGGACCAGCCCTGGGGATCCGATCCCCCTCCTGGTGTCCCAGCGCATGCTCTGAGCTGGCACTGAAGCTTGAGCCTTGGCTCACGCCAGGAACTGCAGAAAAGAACTTTGGGAATATGCACATTCAGCTTCTCCAGTGAGCCCCTTGAGCCCCTCACAGCGCCGTAATTGATGCTGCCTTCGGTGGGTGTCTCCTGCAGGGCGCCCACATCGCGTGCAGAACTCCAAACAGCATTCGTCCAAAAAGGTTACACTCTCCACCCCCCCCACAACAAAGGCTTGCAGCCAGCAATCACCCAATGAATTTCGACATACCTAGCCTCCCCACCAAACCCAGAAAACCAAGTCCCCCACAAAAATATTGGTCACTACCAGGATGTGCCACTGAATTCGATCTGCCACACTTCCCCCAAAAGCACAATGGAACCTGGAGAAGCCGCTTAAGCGAATGTTCTTCGCCAAGACATGTTGAGGTTTCATCTCCATCTCTCAAGCTCTAAAAATGTGTTCGAGAGGGGGTTCCACTTCATGGGCCCTCGTTTCAGGTGCCCCCCAAAAAAAGGCAGCCCCTACATAGCGTGAGACATCCCCCATTCGTGAAGGAATTGGACGTCCAGATTGGAAGAAAGCACGAAGCCCCATCACGTGAGGACGGCCCCGTCGCTCCAGCATGGGTCCCATGTGGGGATCTGCCACCACCAGGCGGAAGACCTGTGCCGCCGCAGCGGTCACCGCTTGGGTGACGCCGGTCAAGGAAGCCACGCCTCGGCGAGCTCGGTTAGGAGATGTCAGAGGCCTTCAGGCATAGTCATAGTCCCATGTTGTGCACTAGTGCGCGTCGTATATATGCATCTACGGCGGCACATATATATATATATATATATCCGTGTGTGTGCATGCACAAACATATCTATCAATCCATCCATCAATCCGTCCATCCATCTATGTAGATAGACAAATATCTAAGATCATTATGTATCTATCTACGAATAGCATATAGTGCCGCTAGCTTCTGTGGGCTAGGTATTGAGCTTTGCACCTGCCCCGAACCCTGACCGACCACATCAAAGGCACGCTCATTGGGCACCACGTTGTTCCCCTTTGGCGTGATTTTCACTGTAATGCCTGGAGCTGGGAGGGCAGCCACACTACAATGCATGCTACCACTGTCAATCTGCCAATGCTCCAAGCAAACCAATGTCTTTGAATGTGTTTAAGAGGGACTTGGGGCCTCGAACCCCCTCAAGCCGATGTTGAGAAAATATGTTTCTCAAGTTGTTTCTGATCTCAATCTACCTCGCAACACCATGCGCTTGACAGTCGGATCTCCAACACTCCCACCCCCAAGAAAATACCACCTGTCTGCTCTTGGATCTCCTTCTGAATCGTGCCGCCTTTGCCGATGACTAAGCCACATGCCGAGAAGGGCAGGGCCATCTCAGTCGCACATTCTCCGCACCGCACGTCACGGATGGTCATGGACGGTGCTGCGGGGCTCAGTTAGGTCAATCCAGGGACCTAACTTCACAGGACTTGAGTTGGAACAACAGCTGTTCCATGCGGTGCCCAGATGTATACCATTCACCGTCTCTCCAGGAAGGCATTCTGGGCACGGAATCGTTTTAGAAGCTGGTCGTTGCAAGGGTTGAAAAGGTTCCAACGGTTGACTGTGACTGGTGGGGGCAGGTTCAACAATCTTTGGCTTCAATATGGCTGTGGGTCAAAACCCGGAGCCCCAAACCAGGGTGACCTCCGACTCGTGGACGTCCATTCTGTTCCTTTTCCTTGGTCAACCCAGCTAGCGTGCCATGACCCACAGGCATATGGGCACTACCGGTAGTACTGCCAAGCGGTGCTATTACCGGTCAAGCGAGGCGGGCGAGGCGGCGAGGCGTAGTGGCTTATGCAGGGTTCACTAGTCACCTGTGTCATTTGCATGTTCAAACATTCATCATACATGTTATAAATGCATGTATGATTAAAACAAAAACCTTACTTATGAACAAAAAGTCAGGTGGTTTCGCCCACTTAAGCCCAGTGTCGCGGGTTTTTCAACCTGCTGTCGGTCAGTACCTTCATCAAACATCTCTTGGTAGAGACCTGACCTTGATCGCTCAATGACGGTCTCACACCCGCCATCCGTGGGGGTGTGGCCCCTTCCCGGAGCATTCTGAAACGGATCTTGCAGCCATGAAGCGTGCACTGTCACCCTGGCACATTCAGGAGAGAATTGTCGAGAGAACAAGTCTTTCTGAGCCAATGTGTTGGATATGTTTGGGTCCTGAAGACGGCCCTTCAATTTGGATTGCGCAACCTCTTCATATGGAAAATTAGTCATCAACAGTCTACATGATGTTTGCGTCATCATGTCTCAAGCACTTGCCCGGCCTATCTTCCAGCTGGCGCTGTTCCTTCTCTGCGGCATGCCGTTCAGCCTCCATGGTGGCATCCACCACCTCGGTCAACGGCAGCTGCACTCACTGCTCCCCTTTCATACAGTCTTCACAAAAATGGCCACTAAAAGAACATTTGCTGAGGTTGCTTCAACCATCGAAATCCGAAACTGACGGTTTGCACACAAGCCCGCGAGAACACAGCCTCCCACTGCTCCAACAGCCTCCCACTCCAACGCTGGCCCAGGCCAGCTCTTCCGCCAAGGGGCCGTCGCAAGCACGGATTCTACGGCTTCCTCCACCACGTTGACAAGCAAGCGTTGACCAAGCGGGCAAAACGTTTCACTAACTCTCTCCGTTCTCTTCGCTCGGCGAAGACGAACATGTTGAGAAAAGGACTCCATGTGCTGAGGCTGCAGTGTATGACTCAAAAATCACTAGCTCACCAATCGCTTTGCACCGAACAAATGCCATATGAGAACCACGCCTCTTTGCCTGCCACGCACACCACCCGATGGCCTCCTCCTAGGAGATATTTGTCAAAGCTTCAAGGAAACTGGATCATGCTTAAAAACCCATTGATCAAGCAATTGGACAAGCCAAAGATTGATGGATGAGAACGTTATCCACCACAAGAGCTCATTTGATCTTTGAGCTGGCCATCTGTCAAAATCAAAGCCAACCTTCAAGCATCCCCTGTGAAAGAAGAGCATGACATTCACACAACCTTTGTGGAAAATGCAAGGGGGATAAATCAGGAACCCACCACGTCTTCTTGGGGACATCCATGCCTCCAGCCGTGCTGCCCACACTGCCAGGATAGAAGTGGTTGTTTGGGGAGAGCTTGATGATGCAGCCAGTGGCTCCCTCTAGCTCCTTGCAACCAATGGCCAATGGCGATGGCTTGGTGGAGGCACCAAACACTACTTACTTCAGACAGCCAGAAAATGTTCGGGGTGGTCAAGTCAAGGTTTGCCACCAAAAGTCTCAAGCTTTCTTAGATGCTCAGTAGCAACAAAGCAAGGAAAAAGTACAACATCACTGCCGGGAATTGTGGGAGGCAAGGATGATGTCTTGCCATAGGCTTAGGAATTCATTCTGTCCTTGTGGCACTTGATCATGTAAAGTGTTGACATATCTTTCACTCACAACAGCTGACCAGCTGCAGATTTCCATTGCCTCCCCTCAAACAACACAACCAGCACTGCTCGCATGAATGCAGCGAGCAAGCCATCAACGCTCGCCCACCGATGCACCAACCAAGCTCGACCGAAACTGCACGATGAAACCGGATATGCAAGAGCACAGAGGACGTGTGGGAAGCGAAGGCCATGCATCCACCTTTCAATAGAAAGGGCTGGGCGGCTTGGATAGGATACACATCCTGCACATTGGATGCCTGAACAGCGAAGACGAGCAAGTCCTTCAAAGTAGTGCCACCCTTTCCAATCAGGATGCCGGCTGTGGCGTTGCTTACAAGCATCTTCAAGAACCTCAGAGCTGCAAAATCACACTGAAGTGATCTTGAAACCAAAACGTTTAACAATAGGAGCGGAGCCCACTGGCAAGCAGGTAGGCTAGGCTGGAACTTGAACCAACATGGTTCCAAAAAAATGAAAAAATCAATCCACGCAGCCCAGGACCATTATTCTGCATGTCTTGAGCTTGCTTTGGGCTGATGCACCATCCTGGCCAAGAAAATCAAATCCAAATTGCAAAGTCCGCGGAGCTAGCCAGAAGTTAACAAACCTTTCTCTTCACTGCTGAACTGAGTGCACAGGCTTTGGCACGAACACGCCAGCTTTTGGTTGCGATTTCTCATCCGCAAGTGGCCAGCAGCGGTGAGGCCAGTTTGCGTGACAAATGATTCTATGAAAGCACCTACACTTTTCTTCAACGCTCAATCCTTGATCAAGAAGACATCCCCAAGAAGAAAAGAAAAACTGGATCCATGAGCCCTTCCAAGAAATTCCCACCCACTGGGTCTACCCATGTCCACTGCACCTGAGTCTGTGCGCGGCCGCTTCGTGGGCGGCTGCATCCACCGCTGAAACCCACCGGTGTCCCGGCCGCGGAAACGCGCGGCTCTAGGGAGCGCCCCGAAGAAAACGTGCGATCTGAAAATGGCCATAGGGTTTTGCGAAAATGTCCAGAATATTCAGATGTCAAGATTCAGAAACACCAAATCAGCAATTGATTCAAATGATCAGGAGTGTAATTCTCTGCAAGGTCTTGCTGCGATGGCATGGGTCTGCCACTGGCGCGTGAGACGGTCAACGTCTTTTTAATCTGAGACAGTCTCTATGTCTATGTGATCAGGACAGCCTTAAAGCGTGACTGCTAGAGGTCCACTGGCGCATGACCAATTTCCACACTCCACCAAGACTGACGAGAAAGTGAGGGGCAAAGTGATCGGGCTTTACAGAGTGCAAATGTCAAAGGTGTTGATTCCTTCACCATCTTCACCGCTGCCCCCCCTTAAAAAAAAATGAACTAGCATGAAAGTGGATGAACTCCACTGTAGATCTTTGAGCACTCATCTGTCCATTCATGTCCATCCAATTCCCCGATCAGTCCAGTCCTGTGGGTGTGTGAACTCTTTCAAAATCTTTCCAGTCTTTTCAATATTAATGCCCCAGAGCTCATCCTGAGTCTAACTATATAAAGAACCTCAGACCTCCATATCCAGTCGTCCTTGCTTGCTACAAGGAAAGACGGCACGGTTTCGATGCTGTCAGATGCCAAAGTCACGGCCGCTTCAACTCGCGTCGTGGTAACATGGCATCGTTCACATCAAGACTTGGCAGCCATGCAGGGCATGGGTTGAAGATCCAGGTCTGCAAAACTGGAATCTCAAGTGAGTGAAGTCCAGGATTGTGATGGCTCCAAAAAATAAGTTATATAAAGGAAGACTTCAAGAAGAATCCATTGATATCTGTTGAGATGATCGTCAACTCATCGGCTCTTCAACCGAAAAGAATCAGGTGAGCGCATTGGGCTTCACCTGCGAGCTCATTGCTCAGTCGGAAGCCTGGAATCGACGGGCTTCGAAACGGTTTGGCACCACATCCAATCATGGCGGGGCTCGCCACTCGGACAGGAGGACATTTGTTGACGCAATGCCGCAATGTCCAACCACTCTAGAACGTTCAACGTATCTTGAAGCTTCTTTTCTTGTCAGTCCTTGGCCACGCCTGGGGCTAACCAAATGAGCCATTTCCAGCATTTGCAAACGAAAAGGCAGTTACTTGTGTTGATGAAAGGTTGTTGCAAGTCAATGGCATTGTACACCTGCTTGTTTCCTTCACAGGTCACAAAGAAGCGGCTTGCCGCCCTCTGATGAGCCTTCCCGAATTCCTCTGTAACAATTTGGAAAGGTCTATGCATATGAGTAGACGTTGCAGAATCAGCGCCTCGTCCTTCCTGCTCAGGCTTTTTGCCTCTTTATGGGCAGCATGATTCCCACCGCTCTTGTCAGTGTTGCATCCAACGGAGTTGCTGCTGTGGCGCGTCAGCATGCATCAGCCCGATGCAGGTCACACAAGCTCGAGTGACACAAAGTGGCCACAACGCGCATTAAAACAGTCAATCTTTAAAGAATCTCCTCGAACCTGTCGGTGCCGATCCTTCATATACTCGAGAGTGAGCTCACTCAGGCAGAGAGTGAGTTAAGACTAGACTCCAAAGGCTCTAGCCTCTTCAGCCTATGGCGTGCCAAACCAGTCCTCCTATCCTCCGAGGCCCCTGGGGGGGATTCACGAAGGATCGGTCAGCTAGGATCAGGTCAGTGTGGAATGCAGAGGTTGACATCTGCCTGTCCACACTACCCCCACCACACCAAACGGGGGTCGAGTGCTTAAAAGCCCTTCAGCTGCCACCATGGTGTGAAAGGAAAAGGAATAGAATAGAACTGAAGGAAACGGATCGAGAGCCAATACCCCCCGCAAATGCATGTGCCCAGATCGGTGAGGGGGATGTCTCTCTCGCAACGATGGGAAGAAAGACTAGTAAGTGCTGGCTCTGTGCTCAAGGTCTTGATGTGCTTGATCTTTCACAAGAACTTGACCTGCTGTCCTGTGCAGGTCTCAGCAGGAATCAGGGTGGCAGCCAGGTTCAAGTAGAGGCATGTCCTCTAAAAACTGTCCAGAAAAGCGCGCAAGTCTTCAAAGTGAGGACTTCAAATCATGGGCCAGCCTTGCAAAGCTTAGATGGCCGTCAAATGCCTGGAGTCCGTGTCTGGGAAGTCAGTCCGAGCGCTCCGCTTGCGCTTGCTCTTCCATGGATTCTGACAATCCCACGGATCTCGAAACCATCTGACAATGGCGCACACGACTACGCACTCCATTGCAGTTCAAGGATGTTCAAAGAGTCAGGCTACCCAAGAAAAGTGTCTGTATTGACACTGTATTGTCATTGCAGCCTAGGAGAGGTACGAACTGCAAGGGTGAACAACCCTGACCTCAATCCCCCACAGCTTCTTCTCACGAGGCCGTGCCAACGGGTCAAGGATTTGAAACAATCTTCTATTGATGACTCAAACTGCTCAGAATGTTCTGCCTTAAGTCCCCGCCAGTCGTGCCATATGATTCGTGTTCACCAAACTCGTCACTGGTATGCACAAAGTTCATGAGTCCCTTGTGGTTTGAGTCACAGGTTCATCCCTTTGGGCGATGCAGGTGCCTGCGTCCCAATTGAAACAATCCACCGCATGGTCTTGATGCACCAGTCCCTCGGGATGCTTCACAAGCTGTTCGCCTGGTCGGATGCTTCGGTTCGTTGGGCCAAGTGTGCGCCTAGAGGGGAATGGCATGGAATTGCTGCTCTTTGTGAATAGGATTTCTGTGGGAGTCTGCTCCTGTGCATCCACAGAAGATACAGAAGATAACAAAACTGCATCAAACAGGCCTTGACCATCTCATCTTTCTTTTTCGAAGCAACGTCTAACAACTTCCAACACCTGAGGCATCCAACACCGTTTTCCGTCTCCGGGAGCCTCCGGGAACCTCCGTCTCCGCCTCTCCCCCGAACCCCCCCCGCGGGAGGCGGGAAGACGCCAGCCTCGAATTCGGTCAATAGGTCACAGCACGAGCAAACCTGACGCGTACGGGCCCGGGTGACCAGAAAGGGCCCGGGTGTTTCCCACAGGAAAGCAAATCTAAACAGAAAAAAACATGCTGGAAAATGTTGTTTGCCACAATTGTGTGCAGTCACGACTGAATAGAGCTGGTTTTTCCTTACTTGCCAGTTTTTGTGAAGTCCTTGTGACAGTAGGTGGCTTTGTCTTGAAAAGGAGACAGGTTGAAAGGTTCAAGTACCTTAAGGAGCTGCCACGAATCGTAAAATTGCAGCCTTCCTCCATTCCCTTTCCCTCAACTCTCGCTCTCCCTCTCTCTTTCTCTCTCTCTCTCTCTATATCGCCCTCTCTCCCCCTCTTTCGCAATCACACCATCTACCGATTTCCTCACATGGAGCTCTAACCCTCACCACTTCCTAGCAACCCCTCATCTCACCCTGGCTCAGCATTCTGGCTAAGACGCTGCGTATCCTTCCCAAGCACGTCATCCTCATCCTCGCTCTTCTGAGCTTTCCAGCAGCCAAAGTGAACTTTCAGATGCAAAGCTGTCTTCAGCTTGCCTGTCACTCCAACATGCACTATAGTCACTCTGTGACCCCCTTGTCTTCGACCACCCTCGCTCAAAGAAAAAGAATCGAAAACCATTGTCGTGAACCCGTCAAGGAGGTCAAGCACTCCAACGTTTTCTATGCAGGCCAGGCCGATCAACACCCCAAAAAAGACCTTTTAAAAAAAAATATGATACCCCTGGCCCTTCTGGCCCTTCTGGCCCTTCGGACCATGCCGGCGTAGGCCGGCTGCTGGCGTATCAGCTGCCGGGCCCTGCCTGGCGCGGTGCAAAAGGCCTGTTGGACACGAGAAGTTCTCGTTGAGCTCCCTGGTTTCAGCACGGCCGTGAGGACCCGCGCTGCTGTGGGCCGTGTCGACCTGGCCATTTCTTGGGCCCAGGGGTCTGCTTGCGAAAGAGGCTGAGGGGGCCGGACAGTCATGAAAAAAAACAGTAATTAGGTGCTTTTGCTATGGAAAAAGTATGCATATTAAAAAGTATCAACAAATTATGCGGTCCTCAAGTTGCTGCATGGCTCTGTGAACCGGGTTTCTGGCGGTATGTCTGTGAACTTGGGCATCGACACCAACTCGTTTCTTTCGGCCTTCGCTTACTCCGAACTAGGGTGAATGGACCATTCTCCGAATGGTTTGAGTGCCCATTGAGCGGTGCGAGCGGAAATCCGCGCCGAACCAAAGATGGGTGCTGCGGAGAAAGCGGTTTATTAGACGGAGCCCAGCTGCCCAGCGCTGGGATGTGTCATACACACGCTTCAACACCAAAACTGCAAGCTTCAGCCCTGTCACCATGCTGGAAAATGCACACGTCAGTAGTGGCTGCGTCCTTCCAGCATATGATTTGAACGAACCTGGATGGTGAACTGTGAAAGGTTGCTCGTAAAACTTTAAAACATGCAAACAATATGCAACAAAATCAGAAACGCGCCCACGGAGAATTTGTGTCATAAGCAGTCTTCTTCCAATGTAGGTCGGTGCCTGTCTCGTGACAGCATCTGCTTCACCAAATCCTTGGTTTCGCATCATTGACCAATCAAAACATCCAAGTAGTGACTTCTTCGTCTGCTGGCCATTCCCATCCGGTCCCACCGCACTGCGTTGTGGACGCCCACCGGCCTACAGTGAGAATGTGACTATATAATGTTGAGTAGCGTGCAGGTCCTTGCTGTCGTTTCTGTATTTGGGAGAACTGCGGGAAAAAGAATTGATCTTGCAATTTCATTGGGCGCCATTGAAAACCACCCGCGCACCACCAAATTCACTCCACACTTCTGCATATTGCCACTTTTTCCCCCAATCCCAAGAAAATGAACTCTGTGGGACAATGGGACCGAGCATCAACCAACGAAGCAGCTCTGGGCATGAGGTTTGCCCTGATGGATGGCTGAAAGGAAGGCCGCAAGCATCCTGCCAGCCAAGAACGCCGAGCAGGAGAACCGCTCATGGGAAGTTAACACTTGTAGTTCGAGTGGTACTTCTCCTGACCAACAAACAGGATCCTGGTCAAGAATTTCTTTTCTGCAAGTTGTTGCTGTTTCGAATGTTCGTCTGGATTTGACACCAGCCGTGTTCGCGAACCTCACTACGGCATCACCAAAAAGCAATGTTGAGAAAGTGCTGCAACTATTAGTCTTTAAAAGTGTATTAAAATGCTGCCAATGTTGAGTGGTCTGCCCCATGCAGTCTCAGTAACAAAACTCACTCTGTCACACCATCAGCATCACACGCAACTCCTGTGATGATTGCCATCTTGAGATGCTCACGGCACATTTTGGGTGGCCCTGATGGCACAGCATGGCACAATGCACCCCACTTCAGTGCGGCACAAGCAGGTCGAGATGTATGTCCTGTCCCTCCAAGATCGTTTGCCGAGGCTGGCACTGTATGGCAAATCGCCAAAGATCAAGACATACAACCTTCCCCGGAATTTCATCGCTTCAGTCATTGAAGACATGTCATGAAGGCATGTGGTGGTCAGACATGTTATGAAGTCATGGAAGGTTCACAATGGCATTCACTTGTGCCTTCTTCGACCTGTCTTCTCTCGCCATGCGAAGCCAAGCCAGCAAAAACATGTGAAGGGCAACGGAACCGGCAAATCGAAGATCATGGAACATCCCAACAACGAAAGCATCAACAGTCGGAGCTTAACAGAAGTAATAATTACACCAGAATTTGTGATTCTTACATTAGTCTGAGTCTGTTACATGTTGTGAGTCTGTTACATGATGTGCTCGCGGAAGAACAGTGTAAGAAGAGTTTAACGTGTGCTTGTCTAATCTTTCTGTGCATCGCTACTAGTAACAGGTGCATCGCTAGTAGTAACAAGTGCATCGCTACTAGGAACAAGAAGCTACTAGGAAACAAGAAGCTACTAGTAACACGTGCATCGCTTCTAGTAAC